AGATCATCGAGAGACTCGATTGCTCTAAGGTTAAGGGAGACTCCTTTAACTAGAGCAAAGTCTAGCACGTCAGGAGCATAGTTAACGTTGTCGGGATAGTGGGTGACAGCGAGGGGGCTGTAGACAGTCAGGTCGAGAGACTGAGTGATATTGAGCAGCACCCTGCCACTACTAGTAGTAGTGCAGCAGGTCCATTCGCTATGCTTGGACTTAAAATCTCCAAACATAGTGACTGAGTCGCCTAATGCAAGGATGGCTTCGAAATCACTCTTAACGGGGAGGGTTCCGCTAGGGATATAGCAAGAGGCTATAATGATAGACTGGTGTCCAATCATGGTTAATCTAGTGATAGTGGCTTCCATACTGGTAAGCGTCGGAGTGGGGATGTGGGGTGCAATGAAGGAACTTTTTTGTAATAAATGGCAGTACCGCCGCCTTTGCGGTCGGGTCTGTCATTATGAAGAAGTGAATAACTTTTGATAGCGAGGTCTTTAGAGACCTTAGGGCTGAGGTGGGTCTCCTGAAGGAGGAAGAGGTCGGCTTCGCGATCTCGAAGAAAGAGCCTAAGCTCTGGGAGGTTATTTCGCAAACCGCGGATATTGAACGAAACAAGCGACAAACCCCTTGGTTTGATACGACCGTGCGATATTGCGGGAGCGAGAGGGCTCCGGCATAGTGTTATTACAACGACCTTAGTAGATCGATGTGCTCAGCAAGAGCAAGGAGACGGTCCTGAGGGGACTGAGCAGCGCGCAGTTTACGCACAAGGATAGAGATTTCCCCTATATTGATCTTATTCATAGTGTTAGACACTAGGCTTAGATCATCTACTATAGGGTCTGCCTGTTTTTGTGGGGCGGTGGAGGGCCGCGGGATGTTTGTTGCCTTTGGGAACCAAGGGTTTATTGGGAGCGGCGCAGGCTGGGAGAGTGGAAGGCTCATAAGGGGCCGAGGAGGGCCCTGAGGAGGCCGATAGATGCCCTGTGTGGGCTGAGATGAGCCCTGAGGGGGCTATGGTATGGGCAGGCCCTGACGGGGCAAGCGGCTTCCAAGAGCCGGGAAAGTTCGGTCATTGACCTGAGGTGGAGCTTTGTAGCTCAGAAGTGGGCGAGGAGCGCGAGGGCAGCCTCTAAAGTCGGCCGGGTGGCCCGTTTGTTCGCATAGGACACATATGGGTGGGGATTCAGCATTTTCGGGCCGAGGGCACTCTTTCAAGTTATGGAGTTCTAGGCACTTAACGCATCTGGGTGGGGCTGAGCAGTTGGCTGCCGCGTGCCCATAAAGTTGGCAGCGGTGGCACTGCGCTGGGTAACCGCGTCGGTGTGGGGTTTCGACCCTTACACGTGACAGGCTGCAACAGTGCGTACCTCGCGGAAGCTGACCTTCGCCTCCGGCACATTGGTGAGAACGAGGGGGGCGAGGTTGAATCTCTCTCTCCTGCTGCTGTGCATCTTGTGCATCTTGTTCTATGGGGAAGCCTTGGGACTTGGGACTGGGCCTTGGGAATGGGAGGTCTTCCAGAATGTCCTCGTTTGCGAGTTCATAAGGAAATCCGCGGAGGACCACCTTGACTTTTCTTTCTTCGGCGAGAGCATATGTGTGATAGGACACACGCTCGGCCGTGAAGAGACGGGTTATGTACCGGAAGTCTTCTATAGATGCCGGCATGATTTTGAAGGCCTCGACGATATTGGTGGCTTGGTCATATTTGAAACGCTTATCGTAGAGGGTTTTGGATAGCTGTATAAATTTCGCCCTGTCTCTGAGAAACAGGGGGCGGGGCTTGGCTTTTAGCCAGTTTGGGAGCGCAGCGTGTTGCTGGCTTGGCGGTAGTGTCTTTCGACTGAGAGGCGGCAGCGTTAGGGGCTGCGGAAGTAGGGGCAACGATGGGGGCTGCGAAGGTTGAGGCAGCGGCGGAGGGTGCGCGTGTGACGGCGGCGGCCGCCGGGGCAGGGGGAGTGCGGGGAGTCGCGACGCGCTTCGGGCCGCGCTTTGATTTCATTAGCGTAAATTGTGCTAAATTGATTTCACTAGCGTAAATTGCGGTGACCGTTCCTTCAGAGTCGGATGACTCCGAGGAGCCGGTGGAGCTGTGGGCAGTCCTTTTCCGAGAGGAGGAGGTGACGGACGTGGTGTCCGAGTGCTCCATATCGGAGTCGGAAGACGCGGGTGAGTTGGTCTGCGGAGCATTCGCTTGTGTCGCGAGGAAAGCCGTGAAGGTGGGCGGGGACGCGTTCCACCGGGGGCCTTAGGGGCAGCGGGGAAAATGGGGGCGAGAAGGGTCTCGTCAATTTGGGTGGGTATGGGTAGTCCTGCGGCTTGGACGAATTGGGCGATGATGGCCACAAGTTGGCTCGTGAGATTGCTTATGTCTATGGTAGGCATGTTGATTTGGACAGGGGGGGTGACGATTTTAGCCTAGGAATCTAGAGGTCCCTGCTCTAAGAAGAACAGGGCCTGGGGGGCAGATGGGGGGGCGGACTGACGCTCTATTCCCAGAAGCTGGGGTCCCTATGTTCTGACAAGAACAAGGGCTCGGTCTGAGAAGAGCAAGAACGATCTTCCTAGAACAGTAACAAACAACAAAAGTAACAGTATAACAATAAAACAATAACATAAATATTAAAAATAAAACAACAAACAAAACAATAAAAGCACTCACCGATAGCGTCTGCTCGGCCGGGGCCGGGGAGAGCGGGGAGCGCGCGCGGGCGAGAGCCGCGTCGAGCGCGGCGACCGTTACACAAAAATAGTCCTTATTGCATGATTCAGTATTCACGCGCGATGGCTTATTAGCGTATTTCATGTATAACTTTGGTGTTATGTACCGATTTCTACGATTATTTTTTATTGAATAGATAATAATGTTAAATTTTTTTTAATTAGGGATGAGTGAGAGTGTTATAAACGTAAGAGTAGACAAATATAATCAGAAAGCTCTGAACTGCTAAGCTATCGGGAGTTACACGTGTTATTGTAAGTTAACCATAAAAGATAGACATAAGCTGTCGTGGGATATTTTTATATAATTTTAAGGAAAACATTTCCGTTATACATGATTTGTGTGTAGCTTTAACCATTAAGGCTGCACACGCGTCAGAAGCTTAAAAAATGGAGTAATTTCTCTCGTTTCCCCAATATTTCCCTTCACTGCTCTGCTCCTATTGATCGTAGCGTGATGAAAAGTATACTATAACCTGCCCAAGAGTATGAATAATGATTGTACCAAGTTTCGTTAAAATCAGTCTAGTAGTTTTTGTTTCTATAACGAACATACAGACAGACAGACAGACAAAAATTTTACTGTTTGCATTTTTTTGCATCGGTATCGATCACTAATCACCCCCTGATAGTAATTTTGGACATATATTTCATGTACAGAATTGACCTCTCAACAGATTTATTATAAGTATAGATATAGATGATAATTTTCAACCATCTTATATAAGTATAAGGTAAAAGTTTAATTTTGTAGCAAATAAATGTTACAATCTTGTTAACTCTTTTACGTTTTATCGCGTTTTATTTATATTAATGTTAATACCCGACGTTTCGGGTGCTTTCCAGCACCCATGGTCACGGGGGACCGGAATGGGTGCCAGAAAGCACCCGAAACGTCGGGTATTAACATTAATATAAATAAAACGCGATAAAATCCGTAAAAGTTGTTTTAATCAAAAGTGTTCGCGTAAATATAAGAAATCATTATGTTACAATCCTTATTATTTAGACATGTATGGTAAGATGAAATTATGTATTGTTAGGAACGAAATTCTAGAATAAACAAATTTGTTAAATATTTAAAATATATAGTAATATTGAATAAAATTATCAATAAAAATCAAATCAAATCTAATCAAATTAATTTAATCATGGTGTTTGTGTTTATGCCATCTAGCGTCGATTATACTTACGATTACTTGTCGATTGTTTTAGTTCGATAAAATGACTTTATTACCTTTATTACCATCTAGTAGATGGTGATATTACAAATCTCAAATAGAAAATGTTCGATTCCCAATGGATCTCACAGATATTCCTATTATAAAATAAGCTCCTTTTTGTATGATGATTAGATTATTTTAAACCATTGAATTCAATAGAGTAGCTTATTCAATAGTAGCTAATCAATTGTTCAATTCTAGAGACCATGAACTGAGGTGTTGTAATTAAGTTACCAGTATCATCAATTCAGTTTATGGAATTAAGATTAAAATCACCAAAAATAGCATACATATCGAGACTTTCTAGAACTCTGTTAGTATTCTCAACAAAATGTTACAATACATTATATTTCATTGGAGATGGTTCAATCCAAACAGTATTTATTAATTATTTGTTCATTGTGATTTTAAATGCATTCAATTTGTATTTAAGTTAATATCGACTATTTCGGCTCTCTTCAGCAGTTCACTTTAGCACTACAGTAAAAGCTCCTTATTCGCGCTTTTAAAAACTAACTAAAGGAGCAAGAAAAAAATTACTAAATTCCTTAAACCATTGCCTAAGCCGGGAGATAGTAATTAACCAATATGGTCAAAAACTTCAATTAAATTGATTTTTTATGTATTTGTTTTTTATTTTGTCACATAGGAACGTATCCCCTATAATTCCATATAAACTACCATTCCATATTCACGGTTTCTGTATTCGCGGCATATTTACGGAACTTACACCCCGCGAATAAATAGTTTTTACTGTATTTGTTGCATTTATATTTAAACACAGATTACAAACAATTTTAACGAGAAAATCACTTATAACTGAGTAAACGGAATTAAACTGAGGAGCAAAACAAAAACATTATAAACATTACTATTACCCACGGCGTATCATGTATAAACTTTAACATATATTACTCGATATAATATAATTATCAAAATTGTTGAGAAAAATTGCTAAAACATACCGCCTCCCATACACACACGCTTTAGCCTAGAAAATATTTAAAACTACTCTTGCCATACGATTCGTGTTTAATAGATCTGACATCACTTTACCTTGTAATACATAAAACACAGGTGATTCTGAAATGAGATATAAACTTAAAAGAAAGCATAAGCTCAGAATCAGTCCCATGTAAGCAGTAGCAGCATACGTTATAAAGGGTCCTGTAGTGTAAGCTAATAGAGTACCAACTGTCATTGCTACTCCTTTACCACTCAGGAAGATTCCTCTAATATTCGATGATCTGAAAAAGTATAAAAAATGCTCAATATGCTATCCTAAAAAAATATTCATCAATAATTACAGTCTATCAAGAGTTTACTACCTCCTCCAGCTTCCTCCATAGGTTGTTCATAGGGGAGATATTTGCCATTGCACTTATCAGTTGCATACTCCACTTGCTAGTTGCGACACCTGGCAAGTGGAATAGCAAACGCAGTGATTTGTTATTTTAAATTGTTATCAAGAAGATATTTCTGCCCATCTCCTGTTTCGTTTACCTCGGTCGCCTATTACGACACCTTAATAGGTGGATCATATTGTTCATATTGCGGGATCATATTGTATAACTCCCCCGTTTTTATTATTGAAATTTACATGACCATGCTAAATAAATATTGATCTTTCTCAAGGATCTTTCTAAAGGTTTAGTAAAAGGTCGTTTGTGATGTTGTTAGTGAGCGTCCAAGTTAGGGCCCTTACTTACGTTGTGTTTGCTTAGTAATTTAGTTCTTTAAGGTCTCTTTTACAATAATGAATATTCACTAGAGCAGTTGACAGCGCTATAATTATTTTAAGCTAAAGAACCCTGCTCACGAAGAAAGGGCTCAAAAGTTTAAGAACAATCGTCTCTATTGCACTTGTAGTAGGTTTAAATCAATCAATTTTTATGGGAAAAGGCTCACAATACTTATATAAAAGTACGCGATACAAAAGCTTCGCTCTCCCATATTTAAAAAATGGGCTCATCCCGAAGAGGAATGAGATTTTGGAAACTGTACCATATCCACACCAAAATCACTGGGGATCAAGTAAAAGAGGGATTAGCCCTTTGGTTGTGGGTAAGCACAAACATCAAGTGAAGTTGCGCATGTTAATACGTGTAAACGCCTAATCCAGCCACAGTGAATTTAAATCAAATCCAGACACAGTGAATGTACGACACATTTACCTTTATCTTTTCTCTTATCTATTACATCTCTATCTTTTACCTTTATCAAGCTATTGATTTTATTAAATTTTCAATATCATCATATCTTAGGTTCATCAACCAGGAGGCAATCTTATTTCTGCATTCGTATTATCATAAAGAATATACTTCAATTTTACCATTACATAAGCCGAACAAAATAAGGAAAAAACCAAAAAATCTATGTGAATATTTCGTTCTGAATGCCACGCTTGTGCATACCAAATTATGTATTCGCTTATTGCTTTTTAGCTCCGGATCATAAAGAACTAAGTGAACTTGTCTTTGTATAACATACTGGACATATAGAGCTGTCGTACAGATAATACTTTCCACTCCTAATAAATATCATTAGTTGGGTAGAAAAAAAATTGCGAAAGATTGCTTTTTTAGGCTCTTTCTAATAAAAAAGTAAAGTCTTTGAAAAGCCTGTTCAGACCGATATAGAAATAGATCAAACGGACTGACATAATGCGTAATATACTGTTTCGATTTATTCAAAGTCAGCAATATGACGCAAGTTTCTAAATATGTAAATTAATTTACGTAACCTAGTTTTTAAGAGAGTAACGTGCTTATCAAAGATTATATGCTAATCTATAGAAACACCTAGATATAGACAGGAGTGAACAATCAATTTATAGGTGTTTTAGGATGGAAGGGATAACCGTTAAAAAACAAATGTAATGAACATTGTTTTGTCTATGTTAATCATCAAAAGGCTACTAGATAGCTAATGAGTGACGAGACTAAGCCCTATTTAAGTATATATAAAAACTTCCTCCCAATTTTCGCCCGAGAACAGTAGACAAGTATCATCAGCGACACAGATTTTACTATGATGTAGTTGCAGGTTGCATAGTTCATTTCTATGAGACAAAAATAGGGTTGGATCGACTATACTGCCTTGCGGTATACCAAATTTAAAAGGAAGTTGACAAATGGTGTAGTTGTTAATCTTGATGCATTGGATTCTGTGATGGAGGTACATTTAAAAGAGGTCCAACTGTTTACCTCTTTCACCTAAAGCTTCTAGCTTATTTAGGAGTATGGGTACAGAGACCGTGTCAATTGCTTTGTCTAAATCAAGAATGCATTTTCTACCGGCGTCTGGTTTTAAGACTACGTAATTAGCGAGATCTAGTGTATGGTCTTTTCAAACCGCACATTTCTCATCAATTCAGTACGCAATCATACGCCGTCGCGCAATGTACTCACTATCAATAACATCAGAATAAATTAAATAATCAGTTCAAGCCTATAAAGGCTTGAATGATAAGAGAATAGAAGTTGATAGAAATTATAACATTTCTATCAACTTCTAACATTGTATAGCATGGCAGCTCGTACATCTTAATGGCCGCCAACTTGGGGGCATTAGTACAAATAATGCCTGAAATTGAGAACGAAATGAAGTCGAAATTTTATTTAAAATAATAAAAAAATTCTTTCGTTTATTTTAGAAATCTCAGGTAATATAGATATATATCCCTATATGGATAGGAAGTATAACTTGTTTTTTTTTATAAATTTCGGGAAAGATGCCACGCGATAAACATAAGTTACAATTGTGTGTAATATAGGGAAAAAGGACATTTTTATGTTGCTTTAATATGACAGATGATATTCCATCCCACACCATAGCTTGATTTTTCAGAAACATAATAATGCGATTCACTTCTTCTTAAATACCAAGCAACTTCTTTCTTCAGTCCCAAGCAATAAAAAATTTTGCGAATTTATGACTATTCCTATACAGTTTTTAATATTCTTTAATCGATTATTAAAGAAATTGCTGTAACGACGATAGGTAGTATTAAATATATCATTGTTAGATGAAGCTCTTATTTCTTATACATGTTATCTCTATTGCGTATGTATGACAAAATATTGTAAGAATGATTAAAAAATAATAAAACATGAGTGTAGTTCACACGTAGTAGAAGTGAAACCTTCGGAAACGGAGACCGAGATAATAGAAAACCTGTATAATGTATCTTATCTCATTCTATCACAAGTGTAATCATGGCATGTTTATTTCTTTTTACTGTCGCTTTTTCGTTTCATCGACTTTCACAACACATCGAATCTAAGGAAATTAACACTTCAAAAACTTAATGGGGCTAATTTAATGTGAAAAAGAACAAACTTACGCAATTTCTCCAATGTACACCACATTCGTTATCAAAAGCGTTCCCAATGCGCTGCCCGCTATCACTCTCCCAGCAAATATCATCCATAAATTTGTTGACAGGGCCAGCATAATATAAGCTACTGTATTTAAAACTCCACTTAATATCAAGCACGGCTTGCGGCCTTTATTATTTGCCAGATTTGTGGTTATGATGGGAGCTAAAATGTTAAATAGATTAAGTCACACTTTAATGCGTCTCTTCTTCTTCTAAATTCCAATAATAATAATAAATTTAATAATAATAAATATTTATTTCATTTCCAATTACACATGTTTACATACAGGAATAAATATGATTACAATTAAATAAAGTAACAATAAGTCTAACAAAAATAACATACTATGATAAAATTAAAACTATGTGTAGCTTAATAATGTAGAATATACAAAAGAAAAATAAAAAGTCAAGTTTATAATATTAGCTACCTGCCTGAACTAGGTTGAGTACCTGTGTAATGCTGGTAACCTACAATGATTTGCCATTATCGCTTGGCAGGCGGATTAGTAATTACAACCGTTTTGCCTCATCGAATTATATCTACAAAAGACATGAGATTTTTCGGGAATTCCCCGAAAACTCACGTCTTTACTTAAATTACGATCATAAACAAATTACATTACCTCAATAGATATCTGGAGGGTACCCACGGATCGCCGCGAACAACAATAGCTCCGTATTAATTTAATTTTAAAAATAGTTATAAGAAGTAATTAAGCATTCTAATAAGTTTATTAGTGAAAGAGGAACTCAAATGTTAAGTGACATTGTAGTAGTGTGTATAAATGGATTAATTATATAGTTACAATCTGTGTAACAAAAAGTGTAAATATAGTTTATAAAAGGGACGACTTTGTGTTAATTCAGGACTTTTTCTTGTTTTTCTGCGAAAAAAGTGATGTATTTATAAATGTAGTTAACGGACGATATAAAATTATTCATCAAAACAACTCCATATCCGATTTAAAAAAATTATTAGCTACGGGTAACTGAAGTCCAATTTCGCTGATGATACTTACGTACAAATAGCCCAGCGGTGTTCCAACTCGGAGTGATATCTACGTGAACCACGATCGAATCTCGTCAATACTATTCTTTTTCCTAGTTTTAAACTTATTAATTTCAAATTGTAATATGAATTTCTTCGATAACATTACATTTCGAAAAACGCACTCAATCTATGTCAAAAGATCTTGCTTTTTGTTGTGGAAGTAGTTCGGATGATTCGAAACTAGATGGCACTACATGTAGTTTACCGAGCTTATCGGGCGATGAAAATAGCATTCAAATTCATAAACTTAAAGAACAAATCGAAGACCTAACCTTGCAACTCAATTCAGCTCATGAAGAAATAAATAATTTGTCCATAGAAAATCACGAGCAAAATCCGTTCAGGATTTAGCATCAAACATGAAGTTCTAAAAAAAAGCCACCAAAAAATTAACGAATGATGTGAATACTTCTAAAAAAAGTTTGAAAATATCCACTCCACTCAACAGATCCACCAAAAATATAGAACAGGTTTAATATAACTCCTAGTACGCTTATAAGTCAAAAACCTATGACTGAACCTACGATCAGACAACAAGATTATTTATTATCTTGTCCAATTAAGCGAAATATCAAGCATTAAATTAAAACCTGTCGGGAAAAAATATGTATAATAAGTGCCAACAAAACAAACAAGGTATTATCTATTGCTGAGGATACGTTTTTGAATACCGAGATATGCCACTACATTTCCCCGAATTGTGGAATTTTACATCTAATTAGCATTTTTTTCCACGCAGGACCGGGAAGAAAGCGATAAAAAACATAAAATTCACCAGCTGATTTTCTTCAAACGTTTTGGTGCATTGTAATTCACAGAATAGGCGATAACCTCGCAGACGATATTAAGCAATCCGATGATGCTCTGCTTACCCCCCCGCAAAGGTTACAGGCGTGATTATAAGTAAGGATCAGAAATACTATCACCACCTGTCATGCTTTCACCCTTGACTATTATTTAACTGTGGTAGAAACAGTTCTTAGTAATCCTTATTAATAAGCCTTAGTAATATTTATTGAACGGAAATGAGTACAGTTCTTATATGTGGTTATGAATGAACAGGTATTACAATAAGAAAAATTGTGCAAAATTTTAAGAAAAATATCTTTGAGAGTTCTTATTAACTAACGTATACATAGTTTGAATTGATTCCGCTAGATGTCGTTACTAGGTTTTTAAAACGCGGTAACGAAATGTTTCCTGACATGTACTTAACTCCCGCCGTTGAGCCGCGCGTCAACTTATAGTGTTTTGTTTATTCCTTTTAGATGTTTTGGATTTGATTTCAAAAAAATATTTAAAAGGGAATTTAATTCCTTTTAGGTATTTTAACGTTTTCTTATAAATAGGTTTTTTGTGACTTCATAATGCCTCGCAAACGTAAGTCCAGCCTTTCAAGAGTATGTTCTCAAAGACAAGCGAAAAGATTAGCTCGATCACTACAATCCTTAGAAGATGCTGAACTGAGAACGCAAGAACAAGCAGAGCGTCATGCTGCTTTTAGAGGATCTGAGACACCTTCTCAACGTCAGCAAAGGCGTCTTGAACATACAGAGCGTCAGACTGCTTTAAGAGCTTCCGAAACACCTTCTCAAAGTCAGGAAAGGCGTCTTGAGCAGGCAGAGCGTCAAGCTAATTTAAGAGCTTCTGGAACAACTTCTCAAAGTCAGCGAAGGCGTCTTGAACAGACAGAGCGTCAAGCTACTTTAAGAGCTACTGAAACACCTGCTCAAAGTCAGCAAAGACGTTTTGAACAGGCATAGCGTCAACCTACTTTAAGAGCTACTGAAACACCTGATCAAAGTCAGCAAAGGCGTCTTGAACAGGCAGAGCGTCAATCTACTTTAAGAGCTACTGAAACACCTGCTCAAAGTCAGCAAAGGCTATTCGAAAAAGCGGAACGTCAGGCCGCCTTAAGAGCCGCGGAAACACCTGATGAAACTCAGCACAGACTCATTGAGCAATATAATCTACTATAAGGGCATCTGAAACACCAGAACAGACATAGGCGCGAAGAGATGCAAATGCACAGCTTCAATCTGAACGTCGACAAAATTTTCAAAGAAACTATTGGTCAGTTTTTAATGACGCAGCATCTCCGAAAATCACTGGTTAGTTGTTATCGGACTGATGGACAAGGCGTGTCGATTTTGCAGCGCTTTAAAATGGAAAGATGAGACCGCAGGCATGTGCTGTTCCAATGGAAAAGTGTCTCTTCCGTTACTAGGGGAACCAGAAGAACCTTTGAAAACTCTCTTTTTATATGATGCTAATGAGTCACGGCGCTTTTTAAACAGGATCGGGAAATATAACTCATGCTTTCAACTGACGTCCTTCGGAATTGACCCGGAAATAATAATGCCAGGATTTTCGCCCACATTTACGGTGTAAGGGAATTTATCACACAATAGGTTCACTTTTTCCCGCTTAAAACGAACAGCATAAATTTTTAGAAGTATATTTTATGGGTGACGAATAAATTGAGGTAGACTGTCGCTGCCAATTTATCCAGTGAGTTGAGAGAGACAAAGTGTTCAAAATTCAAAGATTCTTGCATGAACGTAACATTTTATTCAAAACATTTAAAACTGCTTTAGAAAACCTACCTGAAGAAGATTATAAAGCCGTCATTCACGCAGATCGGACCCCTCGACGAGAGCATGAAAGGCGCTACAATGCACCTTTGATAAACGAAATAGCAGCCGTAATTAGTGGTGATCAATTTTCTTCACGAGACATTGTCTTGCGTGCACGTGATGATACGTTGCAACGGGTAGCGGATACACACAAGTTTTATGACGCTCTGCAATACCCATTGATTTATTGCAAAGGACAAGAGGGTTATCATTTTCAAATTCCACTCATTAACCCGGTCACAAAGGAGCCTACTCCGAACAAAAAAGTATCATGTATGGATTTTTATGCGTATCGTATGATGTTGCGAGAGATTGATTTTAACCTCTTAGCCCGGTGTAGACAATTATTTCATCAATTTTTGGTAGACATGTATGTGAAGGTAGAAAGTGAACGTCTCCGTTATATATCTTTAAATCAAAAAAAAGCTGCGCGTTGAGAATTATATACATTTACAAGATGCAGTTTCTAGCGACGCCAATGTAAACCCCATAGATTTAGGTAAATGGTAATTCTGCCCTCATCATTCGTTAACAGTCCCCGCTACCTACATGAGTACAAGACGCATTCGACTATTTACGAACTTACGGAAGACCTGATCTTTTTTTACTTTTACTTGCAATCCCACATGGAAAAAATAACCAAGGAGCTAATGCCCGGCCAAAAAAGTACTGAAAGACATGATTTAGTTGCTAGAGTATTTTATTTACATTAAAAGTACAAAAATTAATGTATGTAATTAACAAAGGGAAAATTTTCGGAGAGGTAAAGTGCTTCATGTATTCTTCAATTGAATGGCAAAAAAGAGGACTACCGCATGCCCACATTCTAATGGGGCTTAAAGAGAAGTTGCAGCCCAGCCAAATAGACGACATAATAAGCGCCGAGATTCCGGATCCTGAGCAAGATAAAGAATTGTATGATACCATCGTCCGAAATATGATTCACGATCCATGTGGAGCACGAAATTCAATATCGCCATGTATGAAAGAAGGAAAATGTACAAAGAAATTCCCTAAACAGCTATTAAAGAAACAGTGCACAATGACAATGGCTACTCTTTATAGAGACGCAGAGCTCCCGAAGATGGTGGCAGGAAAGTTACAATCAAAACTCGCTCTGGAGCGTTCGAAACCTCAGATAACAGCTGGATTGTCCCGTATTCGCCCATTCTATGTAAAATGTTTAATGCCCACATTAACGTAGAAGCATGTAGCTCTGTCCGCGCAATCAAGTATATCTGTAAGTACATAAATAAAGGAAGCTACCAAGCAATATTTAATCTCAGGAGTGAAGGTGAGGCAAATCCCGTTAATGAAGTACAGACCTTTCAAGTAGGGCGTTATGTCAGCAGTAACGAGGCAGCGTGGCGTATCCTTGGCTTCC